TATTCTATTCTATTCTATTCTATTCTATTCTATTCTATTCTATTCTACAAAAGCATCCTGAAAGGAGGCAACCATAGCAAACTATTTACACATCGTAGCTTGATTCCTACATAGGGTATACAACCTCAGCTCCTATTTCATTGCAAGTTGAGGCACAGTTATGAGAATCCACAATGATGGTGTTATCAGGAAGTCCATCTCAATATAGAAGGATGAGCTCAATCTATTTAAATAACCCCACAAGCATCAGTTTTAGAGCCGCATGCACAACTGAAGGGAAGAGCTTTTTGGAATATGACGTAGCCGTTCTTGCAATAGTTTGGGACTGTAGCTCTCAAACATTCTCAGCCAGCCTGGCTTTTAGATGGCTTTGGGTACATAATTCCTAAACATCTGAAGGACATCAGCCAGCTTGCAAAAGATGGGTGCTGTGGCCTGAAGCCAGGAGAAACACATCAACCGAGAAAGGCATTCATGCTCAAACCAACCAACCTCAATCTTACAGCTACTGCAGCGGACAAAATGAGAAAGAAGTCCTCTCAAATCTCTCGATTATATTGAGGCCATTAGTCCATTTTCTGGGTTATTCATTGAAGCAGAAACTGGATTGGCAAGACACATTAAGCCAAATGGCCATCATCATCACAGATTAACAGAGTTGGAATGGACCTTGTAGGTCATCTCGTGAAACCCTCCACCCAAGCAGGGGACCCTACACCATTGCTGACAAATGGCAGTGTCATGCCCCTGTTGGAGTCTGAATCCGAGGAGGAAGATGAACAGTGGACAGGGAGTAGGAGTGTGGCTCCATTGGCTGTGGAGGAAACTGAGGAAGGGCAAAGTCTGGCTGGGCAGAGCAGGGAAGAGATAGAACAAGGGAGATGGAATTCAGAGGAAGACCCACCCCCTCTTCATCCTAGGGCACGCAGGGAGGAATGGAGAAGAGAGCAACGTGGGTTGTGTGGCTTATGGGAGAGGAAAAGGCCCTGATTCCCTTCATTAGCCACACCTGGGAATGCGAGTTTAAAAGAGATGCATGCTGAGTGTGGCAGCTGCTGGGAACAAACGTGAGTTTATCTTGTGTTGACTTTGCTTATCTGTGTTCCTGGTGTCTTCCCAACCGTGTTGAATTACTACTGTTCCTTCACATCTGGAATTCTTT